AGGTGTTAGGATCCTCAAAGCGGGCATCCTGTTGTGATTCTACGAATGAGTTTCATTTTATTGTTTTAGAGTCAAAGGAAAATTTCCACCTTGATTTAAATAGTTTCATTTTATTTTTTCCTGTATATAAGACTCTACCAACAAAAAATCTCTCAGAACATGGCACCATAAAAGCAAAAATTTGAATTTTAGCTCGTATCTGTTTAACAACTCTGATTTGTTATTCTTCTGTGAACCTAATTAATTTGCTTGTTTTCTAATGTGCGAGTGTTTAAAAAAATATCTTCAAACAAGCTACACTCCGTATCAGTAGGTTGCGGTAATACTGCTTAAAGTTTTTTGCCAACCGCCAATAAACCAGGAAGAAGAGGAGGAAGAAGAGTACGAGGAGGTCTTCAATCCAGTTTAAACATATAAGCTGTTAACTGAAAAAACATTAACAATTTAAGGAAATAATAGGAGGAAGAGATGGATGATCCGCGCAGACTGCTGGATTTCTTCCAAACCCCCCAGATAATTTTACACCGAATAGGTAGGAAACAACAGCGATTGGATGCAATTTAAAGTCTTTTTTTGTTGCACTGAAATGATCCAAATCAGGACTGGGAAACACTGGAAGGCTGATTCACAAAAGTAGGATTGCAGAATCAGGCTTGACTTGCCATCAGTTCATCCAGGCTTTATATGTTTCACAAAAACCAAACGAACAACATCCTTTGAAGGATTAGAAGAATTGTACATTATACTCGAGAGAAACAACTGTTTGCACTTTCAGAATCTATTTCTAGAGATGTGAAAAATGTTGGAGTATTATTGAAAAACAAAAATCTAGAACTGTTGAAATCTGATATTTTGTCTGGCAAAATTCTTTATTCATAAGCAAAGACAGCGAAGATCATCCCCAGTTTTTGACATTTTTTAAAATCCGAATTGTAATTTTATTTGGAATCTCTGAAATATATTGAATTGTATGAATACTTGACTGAAATGTTAATGGAATTGCTCACCGATGCATGTCAAACCTAAAATATTCATCCCTTTGTTGCAGTTTTATTTATTATATTTTATATAAGTTATGTTTTTGTGTTCCCATGTCTAAGTGTCTTTGCTATGTTCTCTATATAGCATTGCATACCCTTTTTAATTTTAACTTTTGCATGTATAAAGTAAAAAGACATGAAGCCTCAAAATTTAAATAGAATTAAAGTTAAATATAATTGATTTTCTTTAGAAATAACTGGAAAAGTAAAACTGATTGGATATTATTTCGTTATCTAAAAATCCCTTCTGAAGCTGCTGCCCCCGCAACCCGACCCCAGATAAGCGGCAGAAGATGGATGGATGGATAAAATAAGAGTAACAGATAGATTGACAGTTTACACGGGTGAGTTAATGGCTATATTAATGCCTCTAGAATTAAGTGAGGAAACAAGAAGGATATATATTTGTTTACATTCAAGTAGTGCATTAATAAGTATTTTAGAACAGAATCCAGAAACAAGACAAGATATAATATTGGATACTAATCAATTTTTAGAATTAAAACATGGATCCAGGGTTAAGTTAATTTGGATTCCTGCTCATATTGGAATAGTAGGAAATGAGTTGGCGAATAAATTTGCTAAAAGTGCAGCAAAAAGGGATAATGTTGAGATTAATATCAAAATAAGCAAAAACAAGGTAAATGTATATTAAAAAGAAATGGCAGGAACTATGGGATAGAGAAGAAAAGGCAAGATTTTTATTATAGCATTCAAAGCAAAAAGTAGGGGAATGTAGGAAAGGTAACAGGAATAAAAAAGAAGAGGATGTTATATCCAGATTAAGGTTTGGGCATGCGGGGTTAAATAGTACTTTGAAAATAATTAATAAGCATAGTACAGGTTTGTGTAGTTATTGTGGAGAGTCAGAAACAGTGCAGCATATTTTTCTAGAATGTAATAAGTATAATCGGGAAAGAGAGGTGTTAATCAGAGAGTTAAATAGAAATAAAAGTAAATTAGATATTAAAAATTTGCTGCAAAAATCGTCTGATTTTGACAGCATTTTTAGTTTTCTTAGGTAGTCGGATATTATGGGAAGATTATAGTGGTAGGACGTCTGATCTATACTCCAGGCCGGAAGGTGGCGGTAATGCACCTACAAGTTGTTTGAAAACCGCTATAATATTAGAAGAAGAAGAAGAAGAATGACGTATGAGGTAGCGGAAAAAAAGAAGATGGCGGATGGTCTGTTTTGTTGAATATTCCAGTGTTTCTCTAAGCGAGTTTATCAACGAGCGGTTAACTGCTTCTGAAGAAACTTTCACAGAGTTTAAAGAAATAACCGTGAAGTCGGAGGAAGAGATGGATGATCAGCGCAGACTGCTGGATTTCTCCCGGACTCCCCGGATTATTTTACACCGGATAGGTAGGAATCACCAGCGATGCAGGTTAAGATCTAAATGTATGAAGATTTATTTATCGGGATCATTTTAGTAACTGATCACTTCCCGTATAACTGATTTTTAACAGGCAAATGAACAGACATTACAATTACACTGTGAAAATGACGAAGCTGAAGTTGGTTTCCAATTCTAGCTTCCAATAGCTAAAGGGGGATTCCACCCAATTTTTCCACTAACTTTCGCATCTTCAGTCGACTGTAGTTTCAAAACTACTACACCTACACACTTGAAACTTGGACTGTATTATTCTCCTCTTCAAGATGAATATTTATAACATTGTTTGGGATTTGTGAAACATTTTCCTGATTTGTAAAAATTCAATAAAGTTTGATTTTCACTATTTGTTTTCATCTGGATCAGACTAGAACTGCTCTTTATAATACACACACAGATATATATATTAGTTATAGATGGATAGACAGATTACAATCCAGCCTTATAGTGCTATATGAATTAAAACCAGGGCAATGCATAATGCTCAATATTACCCATCAGATACTGTTCCCCCTGTGTTAAAGGAGTAACAAGCAAATCACAACTCTCTCATGGAGTGAAAATCAATAACCGGGACGCCCCGCTCACGCTTCCCCGAAGTGTGAAATGAGTCTGAAAAATAGTTGTGCACTTGTAACCGGATTTGTGTAAATGCAGTTTTGTGTGTGTGTACCAGGTGACTTGTGTGTACTTTTTCAACATTTATTGGCGTAGGAGAAGGTTTATTTAATTTTTAAGGTTTACAAAACCAGATTAATCAGAATTTATGTATCAGAATGAGAAACATCTTTTGTTTATTCATTGTAAGGCTTCATGTTGTTTTGCCTATTTTACATATATTGTCCCCTTGATGTCCCAGTAGAGCATGTGAAGCACCGCGGTGCATCGGCTCAGGAGTCGAATGATTGGATGCAGTTCCTCAGGGATTCATGAAGCTTCATCTCACCATCACTATTTTCATTGTTTCCTCTCCTGCTCTGGTCAAAACCCACAGGCCCAACCCAGTGCATGCTGGTCCAATACCAGTACCTATACTGACAGAACATGGACCCACAGTTCTTCCTGTCTACCTTTGAAAAGAAAATAACAAAGGAACAAAAACTGAACAATTATTAACCTACAAACTCTGTAAATAAACCCCAAAGGTATAAAGTGAACTAAAATCAAATTTTAATACAAATAAAAGTAATGAAAATAAATTATAGCTCCAAATTAAGTTATATCTTGAAATAATGAAATGGGCCTGCACAGTGGTGCAGTTGGTAGAGCTGTTGCCTTGCAGCAAGAAGGTTCTGGGTTCGATTCCCAGCCCACAGTCTTTCTGCATGGAGTTTGCATGTTCTCCCTGTGCATGCGTGGGTTCTCTTCAAGTACTCCTGCTTCTTCCCACAGTCCAAAAACATGACTGTCAGGTTAACTGGTTTCTCTAAATTGTCCCTAGCTGTGAGTGTGTGTGTATGGTTGTGTGTCTCCAGCAAACCCTGCCTCGTGCCCAAAATGTTGCTGGAGATGGGCACCAGCACCTCCTGACCCCACTGAGGGACAAAGCTGTACAGAAAATGGATGGCTGGAATAAAATTTTATTAATTTTATAATAATTTTTTTAAATATCCGTTAATTTGACAATTCTCCAATTATCAGCAGGATTTGTCGACTGATCTGTCTCTCTTTCTACACTCTTGAATTTTTAGGTGTGGGTTTTTTCTTTTTTCATTTATGTCTTAAATGATGAACAATTTTTCCCATTTACTTTAATAAGGTTAACAATTGCTCTTTTCCTCTGTTGTCTTGTCCAGATTGCCTGAAATGTAACGTTTATAACCAGGAGAGAAGATCCACTGGGGACCAGGAGGAGTTAGAACCTCTGCAGGTGAAACAAGAACAGGAAGAACCAGAAGATCATCAGATAAAAGAAGAACAGGAGGATCTAGAACATCGGCAGATAAAAGTGGAAGAGAAAGAAGTTTACTGCAGTCAGGGTGAAGAACAGATTGAGCTGAAACAGGACACTGATACCTGCATGGTGGTTCCTGTTGATGACCAAACATCCCACACTGAGTCAGAACCAAACAGGAACCAAGTCATCTTCCAGGAAGCTGCTGAAGCTGAGAACCAAAATCAGGAAAGAAGAAAACCTTTCTCATGTGTGACCTGTGGAAAACATTTTGCTTTCAGATCTGCTTTTAAGGCTCACATGAGAACTCATACGTGCAAAAAGCCATTTTCTTGTGTAAACTGTGGAAAATGTTTTAGTCAAAAAGAAGTTTTAACTAACCACATGAGGTGTCACAAAAGTGAAAAGCCATTTTCATGTGTGACCTGTGGAAAAAGATTTAGTATAAAACGTTTTTTAACTCAACACATGAGGATTCACACTGGTGAAAAGCCGTTTTCTTGTGGGAACTGTAGAAAATGTTTTAGTCAAAAAACGAATTTAACTCGGCACATGATGATTCACACAGGTGAAAAGCTGTTTTCTTGTGTGACCTGTGGAAAAAGTTTTAGACTAAAACGTCTATTAACTCAGCACATCAGGATTCACACTGGTGAAAAGCCATTTTCATGTGTGACCTGTGGAAAAGGTTTTAGTCAAAAACCGAATTTAACTCGGCACATGATGATTCACACAGGTGAAAAGCCGTTTTCTTGTGGGAACTGTGGAAAAAGCTTTAGTCAAAAACCAAATTTAACTCAGCACATGATGATTCACAGAGGTGAAAAACTGTAGAACTATTTTCCATGTATGTCCTGTGTTGAGGTTCACTATAAAAGTAATTTAGATGAAAACTGCAGTTATACACTGGAGGATTTTCTTGTTTATAAAGTGGGAAAATTATTTAATTTTCTAATTTGTGAAATGTGATCATTTGGTTCTTGACATTTGGATACTTTAAGATGTACAATGTGAACTTGAAGGATTGATTTGTATTATTCTGAATGGAGAGAATGAGTCGGGTGAATGAGATTTACTTTAATACATTTTTAATCCAAAATAAAATGTGCCGTTTTGCGCTAATTGTAGATTTTCAGTAACTGTTTTGTACTTTGTAATTTACTGTATTAATAATTATTTAATAGGTTTGTCTTTAAAGCAAAACTAGACTGAAACTGATGCTGTTATTTGTTTCAAATTATATTAACCAGTCTATGTAAAAGCTTTTCAAATAAATTAACCTGTCCTTTTACTTTGAAAATGCAATATTCAATATAAACATATTTCCCTTCATTGATTGTTCTTGATTATACAAAGTATGTGTGATTATTGTCTCCAATAATTTTGTGTGTTATCTTAGTTGTAACACACAAACTAAGTATTACAACTTAGTTTGTGCGTCTTAGTTGTATATTTTTTTTATTTTCTGCTGTGGCTGTTTTCTATTAAAGATCACTATCTTTTTTTAAAGTTGAAACTAATTTGATCTCTACACATATAGATATAAGTTTGATTAAGTCCTTACAAAGTCACTTGATCACTTGGATTTCCTTTGAAAATGCAGTGAATGCTGAACGCTACTGCTGAAATATGCAGAAATATTTGAGTTCAAGTGCAGAGTCAAGGTTGCAAAGGTAAAGTATAATATATATTGAATAATTTTAGGATTAAAGAGAGCAACGACTTTTAACCCAAAACACAGTAACAAGTGTGTAAGCTAACATTAGTCAAAAAGAAACTGCTAGCTTAAATATTAATATGTTGGCTTACGCTAGCGTGTTGGTTAACACGACTTAACCCATTAAATAAGGGAGGTTTAGTTTTTAGGTTAAAAAAATTCGCTAAAAATCTAATGTTAGCTTAAATTCTATCATTACTATGTTGCAGTAAGTTAGCATATAGCATGTTGGATAACATTAACTCAGTCCATTCAGTAAGTTAAGCTTAGCTTTTTTGTCCCAATTAAACAAAAGCTAATGTTAGCTTAAATGCTACATCACGTTGGGTAACAGTGAATTAATCTGTTAAGTAAGGTAACTATTTGTAACTATTTTCTGGGCAGCTGTCGCTACTTTCCAGTAGTTTGTGTGCTAATGGGGAAATGACTAAAGTACAGGCGATTTAATATACAGAAAAATAGGCAATACGTTCAGCAGCCCATTTCTTTGTTTACAAAGAAATACTTTGTGGAAACTTTTCAGTTTTGACCCGTTTAACTGCTGGACTTTATCTAGCAAATCACATGTTAGCTGGTGTCAGCATTCATTAGCCAGAGGTTCATGCAGTGCTGTAAAAACCAGCTCACCTCCATACAGATTTCCTCTTTTTGCTTTGTTGTTGCACTAAAATGATCCAAATCAGGACTGGGAAACACCAGAAGGCTGTTTCACAACAGTAAGATTACAAAATCCAGGATAAGAGGTAAAGTTGGGCTTATAGTGCCACTGGTCCATCCTGGCTTTTTCATTTTCACAAAAACCAAACGAACAAAATCCTTAGAGGAATTGAGAAAAACTGCTTGCACTTTTGGAATCTATTTCTAGAGATATGTTAATTTTGGAGTATTATGGAAAAAACAAAAATCTAGAACTCTGTTGCAATCTGATATTTTGTCTGTCAAAATTGTTTTTTAATAAAGAAAGAGACCTACGATCATGCCCATGTGGCAGGAAAGGAAGTGGAGGCTGCGCCTGCTGGCGGGGTAATTACAAGCGAGCCAATAGCACCAGAGGGCGCTCAGTATAACAGCTGATGTAAGCTGCAGACTGACACTTGGAGAGAAAGGAAGCTGCTGTAAACAGACGCTGGGGTAGAGTTTGTGGCCGGATGGTGGCAGGATCACTGGAGAGAGCAAAGACAGCAAAGTTTGGAACTGAACTTTAGATGATAAATGCGACTTAAATCAGAACATGGCAACGATGGATTTAGAAAGAAGTGACTGGAATAGTGTCGATTGTAATGGCGAGGAAGGGAAGGATGGTCAAAATGAAAGAGTGGGAAAAGTTAGGAAAGGGTGGTAAGAAGCAGCGAGCCGCTGAAAGAGAGGAAAAAGGAAAATGAGGAAAGTACAGAAGAAACTGAAGGCATTGAGGAAAAAGCAGAAGAAATTAAAAATCCAACTTTGAATATTATAGTAAGATTTGATGAAGGAGGGGTTAAGAAGATTGAACCACTTAAGTTAAGTGCATGTTGGATAAATTAAACATGCTAAAATACTGAGAGACGGAAATCTTCTGATTGGATGTAATTCGGACGTTCAGGTGGAAAAGGCGAAGAAACTTGAGTGGGTGTGTAAAGTCAAAGTGAGGACAGTTGTTAGAGTTAGTGAAAAAATAAATAATGAAAATAAAGGAATTGTTACATGAATGCCTTTAAGTTGAAATATGAAATATTTAATTGGTAATTTAAAAGAAAGTCATAGGGATGTAAAAGGAGCACAAAGACTGACAAGGGGTCCAGAGAAAGCTGAAACAGAAACTGTTGGTGGAGTTTGAAACAAAAGAAGTGCCAAAGGAAGTTTTCTTTGGTTTGATAAGATTTAGTGTCAGGAAATTTGTGCCTAAACTAGTGAGATGTTTCAGCTGTCAGGAATTTAGCCATATTCCAAAATCGTGTAAAGGAAAAAGGAGATGTGCCCGATGTTCTGGAGACCATGAATATGGAAAACGTGGAGTTGGAGTTAAACCAAAGTGCTGTAGTTGTGGAGGAGACCATAGTGTAGAGCATCGTGTTGCTTTTTGGGGATGTGAAGTGATGAAATGGCAAACAATTATACAGAAAACAAAAGTTATGCAGAAAGTAACATATGCAGAAGCATGTGAAGTGGTTGAAAATGAAAAATAAAATGGAAAATCTTTGACAGGAGAAAAACAAGTAATCCCAAACGTTATGGAAATGGTTAAAAAGAAAATAGAAGAGGAAAAAATCGAAAATGGTGACTTTTATTGCAGGAGTAATAAATGCAACTTCAGATGTGAAATCAACAACGGAAAGGATTCAGATTATTGTTAAGGCAGAAGGCCATACCTTAGATTGGAAGAATATTCGGTGGGAAGAAATAAGGGTCAAGCAACACAAGAAGGATAATTTTAATCTTACAATGGAATGCAAGGAGTCTTTTGTCAAATGGTCAAGATTTTAAACTGTTTATTTATGAGCAGGAAGTAAAACCTGATATAATTTGTATTGTCAGAGAGCAGTGGAGTTTTGAGAATCTGCATCTTCACATCCCAAGCTGCGGTGGCCTTGGTGACAACAGAGGATCTGCATCCTTCAAATCCCAGAGGACCATCTTCTCTTTCCAGAGGATGAGGACGCAGACCTGCAGGAGGGTGTTGGGTTCCCAGCATGTGAAAGGTCTGACCTCGAGGAGGGGGTGTCGAGAAAAGTCGAGCTCAGCCCACTTCCCCATGCTGGAGATTTTAGTTTAATAGTAACAATAAATAAAGTTATCTTTAAAACTAATTACACAGGTGACATCAAGACCCAAAAGTAGAGTCAGACGGTAATAAAATTAATCTGGTTGTGTGTGTTGTTATTGTGTCCTGTTGTTATTGTGTCCTGCAAACTTTGCTTTAATTCTACTTTTTTCTATTTAATCATAAAAAAATCATAGTCAGGCAGAAAGAGAGTCATGGAACAGGAAGAGCAGGTTTCCTGAAGAAAGAGGAAGTTTCCAGCCTGCAGTGAATAAAAATAGTTCAGAGCAGGTTTCCTCAGAAGGGGAAAGGAGAGAGGGGGGGGGGGAGAGGGGGGGGGGGGTTGCGCAACAACAGTATACAGGAAACTTGGCTGAAGCTTTTATGGATATATTGCAGTTAAATATGATAGAGAAGAAGGAAATGGGGTTGGTGTCTTTCTCTGATTAAGGAAGGCATTTCACATGAAATAATTGAAAGGAAAGGAGATTTGGAGTATGTAGCAATTGAAATATGGGTAGAAGAGAAGGTAATATTGATTAGAAATTTTTACAATCCTTGTAAGAAGCTTGAAATACGTAAACTTGAGGAGACAGATATGAAAGGAAATGTTATTTCAAGTATAGAAAATGGATGGCTGGAAAAAGCAGATAGGTTGGCTAAGGAGACTATTAAAAATAAGATATTGAAATGCCAGTAAAGTTATCTGAATCTGAAGGCAAAAGTATCGTTTGGAGAGAAAGCAAGAAGATATGTAAAAATAGGTGGGATATTGAAATAAATGGAAGGCATTTGTAAGATACAAAATACAGTTGATGTAGTAAGGATTAGAGGAATAAACAGGAGGGAGGAGATAATGATAAATAGAATAAGAACCAGGCACAGTTTCTTAAATGGAACTATTTTTAAGATGGGGAAACATCTTACTGGTTTAGTTGGTGTGATACTGTAGAAACAATGGAACATATTTTTATTAGTTGTAGAAAATATATAAATCAAAGAAGATTATTAAAACAGAATTACGTTTTAATGGGGAATTGAAATTTAATAATGTGGTTGTTCAGCTCAACTGTATTCGGGGGAAAAAAGAAGATTTTTTGTTTTGTTTTTTTAATTCTGGGATCATTATGAGAATTTGAGGTAGAGATATTGGGACCCGATAGATGGCAGTAGTGCAACAATAATGGATGCAAGCTGCCGTTGAAATCAAGAAGAAGAAAGAGAAGGAGGAAGAAGACAGCACGCGGTCTGTCCTGTTGAATGTTTCTCTAAAAATATCTTCAGTCCAGCTTAAACTAGTTTATCAACGAGCGGTTAACTGCTGCTGAAGAAACATTTACAGAGTTTAAAGAAATCATGGTCAAGTCGGAGGAAGAGATGGATGATCAGCGCAGACTGCTGGATTTCTCCCGGACTCCCCGGATTATTTTACACCGAATAGGTAGGAAACAGCAGCGTTTGGATGCAGGTTAAGGTCTGCGCCTTTCTGTATGAGGATCATTTCAGTAAATGTTCTTTTCCCGTATAAATGTTTTATTAGCCCTCGCGTGTAACTTTGTGTAACTCGGCCTCCTGGCATGCTTTTATTCACGTGTGTGAGTATCGCCGTGAGTTGTTGTGCGTCTCGTTTATCATTTCGTACAGCACCTAGTCTGTGTGTGTGTG